GAAGTGGGTGACAAAATGCACTCGCCTTGCGCGCGCACACACACACACACACACACACACACACCCACACAGCCTCTCGACAATATGCGTTTTTGCTGGCTGCTATAGCGCTGGACAGCAAAAACGCATAAAAATGGATTACTAATTCGGATAAGCCAGTTCAACTACAAGTGCCAAGTGAAATTGAATGAAAAAATAGAAATCTAGCATCGCTCCGACTGCATGATCAGCAACTGCCGCTTCTACCGATAAACGCTTATTGCAGCCAATCATTCGACTTGAACTTTCTCTTTAGTGTCCTCAAAAGAAAAATGTAAGTACCAACCAGTAGGCATCGGCTGCCCAGAGATTGCTGTCCTGGAATTTATTGAATGGATGCCTGTACAGCTCTCTTCCAGCCATCAAATATCCACGTTATCTGCACAAGCAGCAAAGTGGGCCGATGCACCCACCGGCTGGTGGCGGTGAACGGAGAGAACTAGGTGCAAAACGAGCTGATTGAAGTGCCCCAGTCATCCACAGAAAGCACTGTGCAGGTAGCACTTATTTGTTAGGCGCTGGCTCCAGACTGGTTCTGGATAAGCCTCAGTTCTCAAGACGATGAGAGGATGGCACATTCGCTCGCACTACTATTGATCATGTGTAACAATGATCAATCATCGCCTACACGCAAGTGTTTTCACTCGAACAAACCACTTTCACAGCTCTCAGGAGCTTTTTCTCCGAAAAAAATAACATCGATAAACGACAGCGGTTGTAAACAGGCATCCAGAAAAACAAAGCAAAGGTACGCGAGAAGAGTTGTTACCGACTACTTGTTTTTGCGGTAAATCTTCGGGTAACTACATACTCACATCAGTGATATTTCAGTTGTTTTTATGAAACTCAAACAGATGGAAAAAAAGTAGCAACACAGATCATTGACCAAAACCGATTTTCAGAAATTGTATTAAAAGCAAGCAGTGCTCGCCCGTACAGATGACCGCACAACCGGTTTCGCCCATGAGAACGTCAGAATAATTAGCACAAAATGCATAAATGCGCAAGTCTTCAAAGTGTGTGTTTTTCAAATTGGACTGTGTAAATTACTTCTTTAACTCTGACGATCTTAAATAAGAACTTATTCTGTCAGTTTTCACATGTCTTTATTGGAAGGAGCCTTTTTATGTGTTTTTATGCGCTATAGCGCTGCTACAGCCAGCAAAAACGCATATCGTCGAGGGGCTGTCTGTGTGTGTGTGTGTGTCTGTGTCTGTGTATGTGTGTGTGTGTGTGTGTGTGTGTGTGCGTTCGGAAATGAGTGCATTTTGTCACCCACCTCAGCAACCAGGAAAGCTGGGAGATGAAACTTTGGATATACGTTCCTGCCCCGTATGTCATCCTGCCGTTTTAAGATATTTCCCTATACGCGTCTAGACTTCGCATATGGGACCCCCAAAGAAATATGTCGGCGGGAAACGATTTCGCGAACCAGGCAAACCAGAAAGCTGAAATTTTGCAGGGATATTCTCTATGCACGTGCGAGCTAAAGATTTTAAACTCAGCTGTCGAGCCCTCAAACCACAG